GAGAGTCAAGGAATTGACTTGCCACACTAACTGAAAAAGAGATGTCTGGTCTTGTCACAGTAAGATAGTTCAACTTTCCAACTAGTCGGCGGTAACGACCAGGGTCTGCCAATGGCTCCCCCTGTCCAGGCAATAACTTAATATTAGGATCCATAGGTGTATCAATGGGTTTACATCCCAACATACCAGTCTCATCTAAAATATCCAGTGCATATTTCCTCTGACAAATGGAAATGCCCTTCCTAGACTGTGCTATTTCGATTCCTAAGAAATATCGAAGTCTGCCAAGATCTTTGGTCTGAAACTGATTGAATAAGTACTTCTTTAACTGATCAATCCCAGCTTGATCACTGCCAGTAATAATGATGTCATCAACATAGACCAGGAGATAGATGCACTGGCCAGAAGAGCTATGCTGATAGAAGACAGAATGATCCGCTTGACTTCGGGTTAAACCGAAGGATTGAACAGCGGAACTGAAGCGACTAAACCAGGCCCGAGGAGACTGCTTCAGGCCATATAAAGATTTACGAAGCTTGCATACCATGCCAGAACTCTCCCCCTGAGCAACAAAACCTGGTGGTTGCTCCATATATACTTCATCTTGCAAGTCACCATGTAAGAATGCATTTTTGATATCAAGTTATAGAAGAGGTCATTGATGAATGGCAGCAAGTGCAAGATATAGGCGAACAGATGCCATCTTGGAAACAGGAGAAAAAGTATCCCCATAGTCAAGACCAAATATCTGAGTGTATCCCTTGGCCACCAAACGAGCTTTGAGGCGATCAATAGTGCCATCAGGACCAACTTTGACAGTGAATACCCATCGACAACCGACAACTGACTTTCCAGGAGTAGCATGAACAAGATCCCATGTGCCATTGGAGTGAAGTGCTTGCATTTCATCAATCATTGCTTGACGCCAACCCGGATGAGAGAGTGCTTCACCTGTGGTTTTAGGAATAGAAATAGACGAAATACTAGAAACAAAAGTAAAATGTGGTGAAGAAAGTCTGTCATAACTCAAGAAACTATAAAGTGGATGAGGGTTACGAGTGGATCGAATACCTTTGCGAAGGGCAATGAGAGTAGTCTCTGATGGAGGATCCGGAGGGGAAGAGTCGACAGCAGCTGGCGGTGAGTCAATAAGGGTCAAATCTGCTGGAGGCGCAGGCTGACGACGCTGATAGGTGAGAAAAGGACGGTCCTCAGGGATGGAGTCAAGGGGTTGCTCCCCTGGGATAGAGTCTCCTGCAACTGGTAAAGACAAATCAAGACAAGGAACAGGAAGAACTTGATCAACTTGTGTTATCTGAGATGGGATAGAATGGAAAGGTTGTTGATCAAGGAAAGTGATATCAGTCGAGACAATATAATGCTTGAGATCAGGAGAGTAGCAACGATACCCTTTTTGAAAACGAGTATATCCAAGAAAAATACACTTGAAGGCTTTGGATGTTAATTTATCTTTTCCTGGAGTAAGATCATGAACAAAGCAGGTACATCCAAATACATGTGGAGGTAGAGGATAGGAAGGTGCTCCTGAAAATAAAACACTATGAGGAACTTCGTTATTGAGCACGGAAGAGGGCATGCGATTGATGAGAAAGCAAGAGGTGAGTATAGCATCTGCCCAAAAACGAAGTGGAACATTCATATGAATTAGTAGGGTACGAGCAGTTTCAACCAGATGTCGATTCTTACGTTCGGCCACTCCATTTTGTTGTGGAGTGTGTGGACAAGTGGTCTAGTGTAACGTCCCACGTTTCTCCAAAAAATTAGAAAACTCAAGAGACACATATTCTTTTGCATTATCACTGCGCAAAATTTGAATAGAAGCACCAAATTGAGTATTTATCTCAGCACAATTTTTGATAAATTGAAAATAATTCAAAACGTTTTTTCATTAAATAAACCCAAGTGCAACGAGAGAAATCATCAATAAAGGTGACAAAATACTGAAAACCCAAAACAGACGTTGTTCGACTCGGACCCCAAATATCAGAATGAACAATAGAAAAAGGAGCATCAACTCTTTTATTGACTCTATTAGCAAAGGAGGAGCGAGTGTGTTTTCCTTGCTGACACGAATGACAGTTTAAAGACTTAAGATTGGATAAAAAGAGAACCATATGCTGAAGCTTGGAGAGGTTTGGATGACCCAGACGGCTGTGAATTAGCTCCGGAGACTCTGTGAGAGAACAGGCTACTGGAGAAGGTGGTGCAATCAGATAATAGAGACCTCGTGACTCAACGCCTGCTCCAATCGTCTTCCCCGTACCCGAATCCTGCATAGAAAAGGATTGTTTAGAGAAGGTAATAGTACATGAAAGAGAATGAATCAACTGGCTAACAGAGATTAAATTAAAAGGAATGCCAGGTATATAATAAACAGAACTCAAAGTTAAAAAAGGGAGTTGGGTTGGCTTTCCCAATTCCACGAGCAGGAGCCTTAGTGCCATCAGCAAGAGTGACAGGGGGTAGGTTATTAGAATAAGAAAGTGAAGTGAAGAGATCTTTATTACCACAAAGATGATGAGTAGCACCTGAGTCTATTATCCAGGGTCCAAGAGATAATTGATAAAAACAAGCAATAGGATTACCAGTGTCTTGAGTAGGATGCTGAGAAGAAACCTTCTTGAGAAGTGCCTCATAGTCGGCACTTGAAAGAGTTACTAATCCAGTTGAAGGTGGCGTAGCATCAGTTTGAGCAAAGTTGGCAGTCGGTGGCTTCAAATGAGGGTACTTCCTATAGCAGCGTTCTTCAAAATGCCCAAGATTCTGGCAATAATTGCAACGAGGCCTCTGTCTGCGGCCACGTCTGCGACCGCATCCCCTGTTCCAATTGGAATCACTGGCCCGAGAAAAGAATGGAGATGGGGTAGTACCGGAGATGATGCCAGTCGTGTTTTTGGACGCATTATTTGAGCCCTCCATCACAAAATAAAAGGAGATGACCAGAAAATAGCAAAGAACTACAAGAAAGCAAGAAATCGCGCAAAAAAGTTGAACAGAAGTATCCAAACAACGGGTTTTTCACTTATATCTTTCAAACGGATGGGACCCACAACGAACAGAGACCAGATCTGGAAAGAGGGTGAGGAGGCGAGCAAGATGGTGGTGGTCCGGCCTGGAACGGTGGCCGGACGGTGGCTCACGCGCCGGAACAGTGGTTCGGCCGCCGGAGACTTCTATCGGCGCGTGGATGCTCCGATCAACACGCGGCTTGGATAGACAGGGTCGCCTGCCTGAGCCGCTTCTGATCGCGTGGTGGTTGGTCGGAAAAGTCGCCGGAAAAGCAGTCTGACGGCGGTGAACAGTGGCGGACGGTGGTTTTGTGGTGGTTTCCGGCGATGAACGGAGGCTGACGATGTTTTTCCTGATGATACGAGGTTGAGGACAAAAAATTTGTGACTAACTAAGGGTTAGGTGTGAAAGGATGGTTGCCGGTATGATGCACGACACGATATGCGGAAGCAGGATTCCCAGAACCCAAGCTCTGGTACCAACTTGAAAAAGATGAATGTATTGTATTGTATTGTGTTGTGTTGCGTATAATGCTGTACAAGAGTCCTCTATTTAAAGAGGTTAAATGACCTAATGGGCTAAGCCCAAATAACCTTCTAGAATAATAAACTAATAATAATAAAACTAATATTATTTCTAACACCAATATAAGCCTCCATTCGAGTATCTAATGATTTGCGCAATTCCATTATTCGAGAAACAATAGAATAAAGTTGTTGTATGTCATTTGTGTAAAAGCTTTTGGCTTCCTCCTACACCTCATAGCAGGTCTCAAAGGGGCATGGGGCCTGTCCTAATGCAAAAAGGGCGACCCATTGCTTATTTGAGTCAAGCATTTTTGGAATAGGCCAGGTCTGTTTGTGAGTGAGAATTAAAGGTGATTGTATTTGCAGTACAAAAATGGCGCCCACTACCTGATGGGGTGCTATTTCATAATCAAAACCGATCAGCGTAGCCTCAAATATTTGACCAAGCAGCGGTTGATGGCAGAGGGGCAACAGAAATGATGGCAAAGCTTGTAGGCTTTGACTTTGAGATCCAATATATGCCGAGAGTAGAAAATTGAGCTGCTGACGCTTTGTCCAGAATGATGGAGTGTAAAGAGATGACTATAGTCTCAAGTTCAGATGTGCAATTAATTTCTGAGGAGATGCTTAAGGATGAGGCCACTCTCGAAATTATGATGGAAGTGCTCTTTAATGCTAAATTTCACCTTGGTTTTCATGTCATGAAGGGCTGCTTCTGGTTTAAGAATAAGCTAATAATTCCCAAGACTTCTGCTCAAATACCAGTAATTTTGCATGAATTCCATCCCTCACCATGGGGAGGCATTCAGGTGAATTATGCATGTATAAAAGGATTGCGGTTGTTTTCTTTTGGAAGGAAATGCGAAAGGATATCGGTGAATTTGTCAGTTCGTGTGGTATTTGTCAACAGCAAAAATATCAAGGATTGGTCCCAGTAAGTCTACTTCAGCCACTTCCAGCAAAAACAGTGATTGTATCTCGGTGGATATTGTGTAATTCGTTGGTCACATTTTTCATTAACATGAGGTCTATTTCTGTTTCTTTTACCAAGAAAAAAGAACAGTCTGTGACCAAGAGAGGTATTTGAGAGAAAATTTTTAATTGATAAATCTTTTAATTTATTCATTTTTCTTGCTATAAGATCATAGTTAATTGCTGAATTCGTACCTTCTTTTGGTTTTTTTTTTTCCCGAGTATTTCTTTCCAAATCTTTTTAGCTTATATAACAAGATATTGATCAAATGATACATCTGTAGATTTATAGACTTTCTGTATCCATACCCTTTATCTTTTGATGTTGATTCTTGAACAGAGAAATACCCTAGGAACTTAGTTGCAGGAATCACTATAAAATGAAAAATTGAAGTAGGGACAATTCTCAAGCTTGGATTATGGTAAAGAAATTATTTAAGATTATTCTATCCTTCTTGTTTTCTGTTTCAGGAAGAGCTGGATGACTTTGCCATTAAGTTCCCAAATCGATTCAAAGTTTATTATGTTCTAAATCAGGTAGTCGAAACTCTTCTTAACTTCTAGCCCCGTTTCATTATATTAGTTTTTCAGTAACAGAAAAGAAAAGAGCATGATGAACGAAAAACTGTATATTCCATTAACATGCAAAAGCAGAAATTACAAGTAGTTATATGAAAGAAAAGGCCAAATAGAAAGGTGCAATATCAGCACCATCTGCACACACTAAAAATACACCTCAGCTTCTAGAAACGGTTACAACAGAAAAAGGAATAAAACTGAAAATATAAGAATATAAAATATACTAATAGGCCCCCTCAAGATGGAGAGTGTATATTCAGAACTCCCATCTTGGATACTAGTGCTGAAAACTTAGAAGGAAGCAGAGGTTTAGTAAGAAGATCCGCAAGTTGCTATGCTCACGAACAAGATGGCAATCTATTTCTATATGTTTTGTGCATTCGTGAAAAACAGGATTGGCAACAAGATGGAGAGCAGACTGATTGTCACAAAAGAGATGAGCAGGACTAGAATGTAAAACCTTAAGATCTTTAAAAAGAGAAAACAGCCAGAGCAATTGACATGTAACATGAGCCATGGACCTATACACAACCTCAGTGGATGACTTGGAAACGGTGCTCTGTTTCTTGGACTTCCAAGAGATAATAGAATCTCCAATGAAGACACAGAAGCCAGAAATTGAACGACGGCTATCAACACAAGAGGCCCAATCAGAGTCGCAGAAAGAGTTAAGTTGAACAGTAGAAGAAGAAGAAAAGAAAATGCCTTGACCAACAGTGTGCTTGATATAACCAAGTAATTTGTGAGCAACTTGAAGATGTGGAACCCATGGAGTAGCCATGAATTGGCTGAGAAAATTAACACTGTAACATATATCTGGCTGAGTAATCGTCAAGTATATTAATCGACGGTACACAGAAGGATCAGGAAGAAGATCTCCCCCAGGTGCAGAAAGCTTAAGTCCAACTTCAAAAGGAGTATTGCATGGTTTGCAACCAGAAAGACCAGAATCCTTAAGAATTTCCAAGCCATAATGATGTTGGCAAACAGAGATACCTTTGGCAGAACGAGCTACCTCAAGTCCAAGGAAATATTTTAAGGAACCAAGATTCTGTAACTTGAATTTGCTGTGAAGCTCATCAGTGAGGAACTTTACTTCATGAGAATTGTTAGATGCAATGATAATATCATCAACATATACTAAAATAGCAATGAAACTCCAGAAGAGCGCACAAAAAGTGAATGATCAGATTGTGATTGAGCAAAACCAAATAAGGACAATGTGTTAGAAAACTTTGCAAACCATTGTCTTGAGGCCTGTCGAAGACCATACAATGACGTATGGAGACGACAGACAGCATTAGGAGGAAGAGAAGTCTGACTAGAAGAGTAGCCAGGAGGTAGATGCATATATACCTATTCAAAAAGCTCCCCGTGAAGAAAAGCGTTATTAACGTCAAGTTGCACAAGAGACCAATTGTTGATTGCAGCAAGTGCAAGAAGGACCCATACAGTTGTAAGCTTCGCGACAGGGGGAAGGTCTCTAAAAAATCAATGCCCTCCTGTTGAGTAAATCCCTTGGCCAATAAACGAGCCTTATACTGCTCTAGGGAACCATCTGATTGATATTTAATCTTGTAGACCCATCTACAACCCACAGCTTGCTTGCCAGGGGGAAGAGAAACAATAGATCATGTTTTGTTAAGCTCAAGTGCTGAAAGCTCATCTTGCATTGCAGCTTGCCATTCCGGTAATTGTGATGCAGCAGAAAAAGAGGTGGGTTCATAATGGGATGAAACAGAATTTATAAAAGCTGCATAAGAAGGGGAAAGACGATGGTAGGAGAGGCAATTAAAGAGAGGGTGAAGGGTGGAAGAAGAACAAATGTAATCATCAAGATGGGAAGGAGGGTGACGAGTCCGTGAAGGACGAGAAGGGATAGATGGGTCAGAGGTAACAGGCTGAGAAATAGTGGCAACAACTAAGGAAGAAGGAGTAGGTAAGGTGGAAAATTCAGTATGTAGGGAAGAGGAGGAAGAATGTAAGGCAAAAGGGAAAATGTTTTCAAAAAGCACATCATCACGCGAGATGAAGATACGTTTGGATTCCAAATCAAGGAGTTTGTAACCTTTGAAGCCAGGTGGGTACCCTATAAACACAGCAAGTAAGGCCCGAGGAGAAAAATTATGACGATTTTTGGAAAGTGTTGAGCTATAGCAAAGGCAACCAAAGTTACGAAGATGAGTATAGGTTGGAGGTTGGAGGTTTATGACATAGAAGTTCAAAAGGAAATTTGGAAGAAAGAAGGGGAGATGGGGTACGATTAATGAGATAAACCGCAGTGAGTATACAATCCTGCCAATATTGCAAAGGAATATGAGATTGAAATTGGAGGGCACGTGCACATTGAGAAGGTGCTGGTGCTTGCGTTCTACAACAAAATTCTACTGAGGGCGATCAACACAGGAATGGAAGACCTGAATGCCTTTAGAGGAGAAAAAAGAGGACAATTGGAACTCAGGGGCATTATCACAGCGGAGAGACTTAATAGGTAAAGAACATTGAGTGTGAACAAGATTATAAAAAGAAGGAAAAACAGAAGAGAAATCAGATTTTTTATGCAAAAAGTAAGTCCATGTGAATTGTGTAGCATCATCTACAATAGTGAGAAAATAGCGAGAGCCCTCTACAGAAATTGTATGAAAAGGACCCCAGATATCACAATGTACAAGATCAAAAGGGGATGCAGATAATTTGGGATTTAAAATAAAAGGGAGACGTTTTTGTTTTGCAAGGGGACACACAGAACAATGATGCTCAGTATTCAAATCATCAGAAAAACCCAGCAAACATTTCATTGAATTTAGAACCGAAACAAAAAGATGCCCTAATCTAGAATGCTAGAGAGAAAGATCTTTTACAGTTAATGAAAAACATAGGGGATGAGGAACATTATCTGCAGGGAAAACATTATCTTCACGAACAGACGAAAAAGACTCATTGAGCCCAATAAGAAACTGTAAAACATGATCCTGCTTCCTACCGGTCCCAATTTCATGGAGAGCACCACAAGTGCAAGAAGGAAGGGGGAGGTAGTCCGGTAATTCGTCCCAAAGAGAGTTCACCTTTGTATAGGAAGCATTAACATCAAGAGAGTCTTGATATAGGGAAGAAATGCGTTGTTTAAACTGGAAAATGCGAGGACCATTAGCCTGAGAATATCGCATCTTCAAATCAGCCCAAACCTCATAACCAGTAGAAAGATAGAGAAGGCTATCGACAATCTCTTTAGTAACAGAGTTCAATACCCTAAGAGAGCGGGAGACTAAAACCAAGCCAGGATGATCTCCATTTTGCAAAAATAGGGACTGGAAGAATCGTCCATGGAATAAGAGGAACCAGAGGAATTATCCGCTAGTGGTGGGCGGTTGGCGTTGTTACCACGAGCCATAGAAGAGGGCTCGGGTTCAGGAAGAGGATTTCACTGATACCATATTAGTTTTTCAGTAATAGAGAAGAAAAGAGCATGATGAAGGAAAAACTGTATATTCGATTAACATGCAAAAGCAGAAATTACAAGTAGTTATATGAAAGAAAAGGCCAAATAGTGGCGTAACATAAAGGTGCAATATCAGCACCATCAGCACACACTAAAAATACACCTCAGCTTCTAGAAACGGTTACAACAGAAAAAGGAATAAAACTAAAAATATAAGAATATAAAATAATCTAATACATTAAATTATTCTCTTTTTTTTTTTTTCCGTTACAACGATTGGGGATTGCAATTTAGATCAGAGAAAACGGAGAGCAAGGTATGGTGTTTTATTGAATAAACAAGGAGCAGTACAAGCAATAACACTTCACAAGGGGACACCCCCTTCACCCTGAGAAGAATTCTGTGTCAAACAGTCAAACATCTCAGCAGTAAAAATTTGGCGATCCCTCCCAAATGAATACCCAATATAGACCCAATTTAGTCCCTGATTCCCTCCTTCCTGCCAAATATAAATAATAAACTAGCAAAATAGAGCACTGCATAGAGAATTTGATAGCTCAGCCTAACTTTCATTTTATCACATTACTGCATATGCAGACCTTCCAAGTATAATGATAATATTATAAATTAAAAAAGTTATTATATGATAATATTATTTTAAAAAATTATCATACAACCTAATATAATGATAATATGATTATATGCATCAGAAAAAAAATTCATAATTGTTGAGAAGTTCAAAAATATTCTTTAAGATTTAATTATTGTTAAATTGCCGACTAAGGCTTTTAATTAGCCTGCTAATACTTTCATCAGTAACCTTAAAATCGATTTTCATAATAGACACAAATCTAAGTTTGGTTGGGCATTTCCAATGACGGTACATAACTATATATATATATATATATATATATATTATTGGAGAAAGTGTTTCTCCTATAAAAGTAGATAAAATTATCTTTTATAACTTTACGACGACGTCATTTGGGATTTAGGAAAAAAAAATGTATGGTATTTTAAAAATTTACTTTCTTTTTATATTATAAAATTTATTAAAATACCTTGCATTTATTCTTTCAAACCAAAAAATGATGTAATTTTATCTCTAATTACAGGAAAAACGTTAATCCCTTTATTATTTGTATATATTAATAAAGGGTTCGTTTTGTCTGCAGTGAATGCAGATAAGTTATCTGCATTACGACGTTGTTTTGGGAGTGAATGTAGATAATTTATCTGCATTCAGTGTAGAAACATTAAAACCATTAATAAAAGAGGAATGTTATACTTACATTAATTGTCTTCCTTGATGCACAATAATGGGCATCAAGGAAAGGTCTATCCCCCATCCTTCTCCCGGTTATTGGAAAAAAAAATAGTGTCTATATTCAAGAATTCTGCAAAAGAGTTTATGGTATAAACTACTTCAACGGTTTTGATATGATTTACCGGGTCAGTAGATTTTTTGAAAATCGGGTGAACCAACCCGGTTGTCACTGGTCCAGAATGCTTTGAATGCATAACCGACCGGACCGGCCACAGTACCAGTTTCCGGGTTGAATTGGCGGTCTAAGCTGGTTCTAGTAACATGGTTAGATATTTTAGTTTTGGATTGGTTTTTATCCTTCATTTTTGTTGTTAAGATAATAATTGATAGGATCTACTAGCATGAAATCTGGCTTTTAAATGTATTCTTATATTGGCTGTGAATATATTTTTATATACTCTGCAGCCACCAGAAGTATGGGACGGCGGTGTTGGGTTCGTATCCAAGGAAATGATCGAAACAAATTGCCCTGCACCAGCACCGGATGTTAAGGTCAATTTTGCACTCCATTATCCAATTTTTTTTTCCCCTTCTCTCCGTGTCACACATTAGGTGACAACTGACAACTGATTAAATATTTTATAGATATTAAGGTGTGGACCACCTCCCATGAACAAGGCTATGGCTGCTCATCTTGAAGCTCTTGGATACAGTCTCCAAATGCAGTTTCAGTTTTAGTTCTTGGATAAGGCTATATTACCTTTTTCTTTTTAAAATATATAGCATTTTTTAGTCCAATGTCAACATTCGGACATTTAATGGTATTTTATTTCCAGATTTAACATAGTAATCCAGGTTACAATTTTACACTTCAGTGTTCGGATTAGAAAGTTTTGATGCCCAATGCTGTATGTAACATTCGAGGATATTCCTCAATTTCGCATATAAACAACCGTCTTCATTGATAAGCTTGAGCTGCTGGCATTGCTTTTCATGTCTAGCTGTAAAACTACAAACTACTATTGACGGCAGCATCATTTCTTGCTGTCCAAATTGATTTTTCTTTTATAAAAAAATAAAAAAAGGGAAAGCCTAACATTTTTCAGTTAAAGTATTGGGAAGCAGCCAGGATATTGAACTAGACAAACAAGGGATTCTAAAAACGTGTATGTGAGGAATAGATGTTGAAACTTCTGGCAGATCTAGAAATCATCGTTATGTTTCGTAATACATTTTTCTGGGATAATTGTCCCGTGCCGTTTCACTTCCAGGATTCATCGTGGTTGATGTCACGATCAATGTACTTAAAATCGAGTTTTTATTTTGAAATGAAAAGGGAATAAAATATTATAAAATATAAAATCATAATAAAAAAACCCAAGTTATGTTACACTCATGTGACACCCAGTCAATCTCACCGTTAAATCGCTTATGTTGATCCAACGGTTATATTTATTTTCATCTTTGTATGGTCATGATTTCCCAAATTTAAAGTGAAAGCATTAAATATGGGAAATTATAACCATACAAAGGTAGAAATAAATATAAAATATTAAATTTGAAAAATCATGACCATACAAAGATGGAAATAAATATAACCGTTGGATCAACATAAGCGATCTAACGGTGAGATTGACTGAGTGTAACATAACTTGGGTGTCACAATATCCTATCCTATAAAAAAATCCTAAAAAAAAAAGGATAGGTTATTTTACTTATCATTTTTCTGCCTACCTTTGCCTACCATTCTTCAATACTGTTAAATCATAATCTCAAGAAGAGAGAGAAAGATAAATGTTAATTAAGATTCTGATCTAACGATGTTGGAGAGTGGTAGACAAAGGTAAGCGAAAAAAATAGTAGGTAAAATAACCTATCTCAAAAAATAATGTGCTTGAAATTTTGATGAAAATATTTTTATATAAAAAGTCATAAAACGTAAAAGTGCACTTTTAAAACTAGTTTTTTTTTGGTAACTGATCCTAATTACCTCTTTGAGGCGAATCAGAACCACTGGTATTCCCACGGGTTCGACTCTTTGAGCCACATATGGAACTAATCCAGCGTTCGGGTGCGAGTCCAAGGATTACAGCACTTTTAAAACTAGTTTTTAACTTCCATGGTTATGACCTCGCATATTCTAGAGCTCATATGTAGCATTATGGATAATTGAAGAAATAAGTGGTGGGAAAGACAAAAGGGAAAGAGAGAGAAATTTAGAGAGAGATTGGATTATAACATTTTTCTTCCTTTTTTTATTTTGTCATCGATGTAAAATATTTATAGTAATAGATTACAATTTTGAAATTCAGAAATTACATTCAAATTCAAATAAAACTAAATCGTAACTTCTAATAACTATTATTACAATTATAAATGTTCATATCTCTTGCTTTGCCTTTTGTTTCTTTGTGAATTTGGGCCCACTACATTTGTTGGCCCATGGAGAATGACCTTGTCCTCAAGATCTGGCCCAATAATTGATTTGGAATTGTATGAACCTGCACCGTTAAATTAAGAATTTAAATAATTTAATTATGGGTTTAGAAAATAATTCCATAACTGACTTTGGAAAAATATGGAAAGAGCATAATAATTAATATTAAGTCGCTTTTCTGAAGGAAAGTGTAAACACCGAGTATTTCGCGGTATAAATAGATATCGTCGAAGTAATCTGAAAAATAGAAATAAAAATATGAATATTCCAAAAAAATATATTTAGGCTAAGAATATCAAGCTTGGAGTAAAAATAATAAGCAGTGATGACAGAACTAATACAGACAATTTCGCTGTATAAAACTCGTACTGGTGAAGAATCTCGAAAAATTACAAGAAAAATACGATAATTCCTAGAAAAATGTCTAGGCTAAGAACATGAAATTTTTGAGTTAAACGAAGAGCGAAACTCATTAAACTAATACTGTTAATTTAAGTGAATGCACCTATAAATAGCTAATGGCACTAAACCCTAGGTCAGAATTTATAACACCCACGTAGATACACCCTCTCATCCTCTCATTTCTGCCACCATTTGTTCTTCATTAAAGACAAAGCTTATATTCAAGAAAATGCACCAACACTTATTCGTTCTTCACCATTGATCATTCCACCCATGTAAACACCTTGAGTTTGTGAAGTTAGTGAAGATAGTGAGCATGTTGAAAGAGTGTACTTGTTGCCTTGGTGAGTGAGGAGTGTATCCTTGTGTGTTTTGTAGAGTTGGAGTCATTTCAACCTACTTTCAAGCTTCAAGAACCAACTTTTGTGAAGAAAGAACCAACCTTGAAGACCTAAATCCGTGCACATCACTTGACAATGGTAGAGAGTGGAGTCTAAGCCTCTAAAGTCCTCTTCTTTCTCTGTTTTGGTGAGCTCAAGGTATATATCAAACATCCCACTTATGTTTCATGTGAAAAGATTGACCTTTCCTTTGTTCTTCATGATAGAAAACATGATTTAGGTTAAAGGTTGAGTCTTGAAGTTATTTTTGTGTTTAAAATGTGTTGGTATGTTAATTAAATGACTAAACAAATTTGGGGGATCATTGGAGGTCAATTATACCTTAAAAACTCAGTTTTCTGCATTTTTTCGAAGCATTCGAATACTTTTCGAGCAGTATTTGAATACTTCCTGGAAAAATGCAGTAATCAAATACTCCGCGAGACAACAATGACCTAGTTTAGTAAAATTGCAATATCGCAAGCTACAAAGTCCAAATTGAGTGAGATTTGGACCTATGTGAAGATGACATATAGGGCTACAATCTTGTAAAATTTCGTAGCCATTGGATAAGTGGTTTGATTGCTGTGTTAGTTTGAAGTCGCGTCTTAGTTGCTGGAAATTCAGTTTGTTGCAGTCACTTTGCGAAAAATATAACTGGACTTATACAACTCCGATTTAGACATAAAATATTTCATTAGAAAGCTTATGATGTCAAGTTTAACATTGTAAAATATTAGAAGTTTTGGTAAAGATTTGCGATTTCTGTTTTAAAAATGGTAATTACGGTTTGTGCTTGGGGACTTTCGATGAAGCCTACAGTCACAAAATGAAAAAAAAGTACGCCATTTAACTTGAAATTTCAGGATATGAATATTGATGATATTTTTGACATAAAACAGACTTGATTCTGCTGTTTCGTGATCTTTGCACTACTTTCTGGATTTTGTGCTTGACTATACTACTTGACATATAAGTTTTGTGTTCTCAGGGTTAATCCCCATTTGTTCCTCCATTTTTCAAGAGAAGGATGGTATTTTTATATGGTATATATACTTATCTGTTATTTGAGATGATAAAATGATGCACTCTCATATATGTATGTTATGTGGTGTATTACACACAAGATGACTAATACATGAGTGTAGTATGGAGCTGCACAAGACTGTATTCCTTGAGTGTGGGCATAAGGCAAGATCCTTATACTTCTTATGTATGTAGCAGTCGTGTGTAAATCATATCGTTCTCTGGCCAGTAGACTTGTCAGCACACATGCATAAAATATATATATATATATATATATATATATATATATATATAATATATATATATATATATATGTTGCTGCATTATATGGATATTATTACTGTTAAATTATTATTTTTAAATTGTTATACCGAAGTGAGCTTGGGGCGAAGGAGCTCTTCGAGAACCCTTGCTTACTGAGATTTCTGTTTTGAGATCTCACCCCTTCTGAGGCACATATTCAGGTGCAGATATCCATGAGATGGATGCTTCCCAAGGCAAAAGGACGAAGCAGAGTTGATTTATATGCATGCTTTATTTATATTATTTGGACATAATTATTGTATCTGAGATATGACTTTTATATGTATGTTATATTTGTTGTGTGTATGGGGGTTGTCCATGCCTTATTTGATATTTTGTTGGGCATGTATGTTTTGTATATGCCATGATGTGGACGTTGTCATGACTACGTGTGGTAGTTTCATGACTTAGTATTTATTCATGTTATTGAGGCATTTTCTGTTATCGTAGCTTTGCAATTTCATACAGGCGATTATAAAAAAAATCCACTCGGTTAAGTTAATGAGACTCATAATTGATTTAATTAGGTTACGCATTTATTTGAGCTGCGCTTATACTATTTGTATGTTAATACACAGGGTGCACACAGGGTGTCACAGGAATCAAGGTTAGAAACACTGACGTTTGTGATAGAATCAACATTTGGTTGATCTGTGGTCTTGATGTTTGAACTTCAGGTGATCCTCTGAAGCTGTCTTGAGACTAGTCTTTGAAAATGGTTCTATATTTGGTGCAAGTTCAATAATTTTTGACTCTGATAATTGACTTTCTAATAAAGGTGTGTCTTCTTCAGTTCCCTCCATGTACAGTAGTGTTGCCTTTCCTTGACATTTGTGACCGAACACATATCGTTCGTCATAATTATAACGCAATCCTTTTTCCCTACGTGCTTGCATCTCTGTTTGTGTGAGTCGCTTAATGGGAATACCAGGAATAGGAGTTTGGTTTATGGGTGGAGGAAGGGCTAGCAAAGACTGTGATGTTCCTGGATCCCATGGTCTGGGTGGTGTATCCTTTGCAAATTGTTCCTCAAATAATTGTGCAACAGCAAATGCATAATGAAAATTCGGTAGACATTGAGCCATGACAGCACGAAGGATCTGCGATTTTAGTCCAGAGATAAAGGTACTACGGAGCAGATATGGTGTCATTCCAGGTACCCGACTAAAAAGGGCTTCAAATGTCGTCTGATATTCCAACACAGTTCCAGTTTGAATTAGTTTTGTTAATGAACCGGCTGGATCGTCAAACTCTGATGGTCCAAAATGTCGATGTAAAGCAACAATGAAGGAATTCCAATCCCAGATGAGACTGT